GTCGTTATATTCGATATCCAATGTATATTGAGTTCAATGATGACCAAACCGTGGATGACTAAAAGTCCTCGGTGATGTATTAGATGACTAGCATGGCTTTTAAAAAAAGTTCTTACTTGAACCGATGTCCAGTTTCTTGGGTAAAAAAACTTAGTTATCTATTTATGGACCTATTTGTGCTAAGAAGAACTGTGTGAATTAGGGTTTGAGGGCACCATAGCTTCTTAATCCTTTCAGCACGAATACGTCCAAATGTGAACTGTAGTTTTTTCTCAGTGGGGAATAATATTTTCAAGTTAAACAACTGAGGTATTCATTCATCCTCTCCCGACGCAGTATTTTCTTTCTTAGCAGTGCATTATGGACACTCTAATCCGATGAATAGCGAATTCACTGACGTCACGATCGGATCTGACGTATCACTTATATCCATCAGCCACGAGTCCGTGGATCATCCGTACGTTTTTATGCTAAAAAGAACTATGTGCAAACGAATAAAATCAAAAGGAGCTATGAATCATGCAAATCTTATACACGTACGTCCTTTTGATTGGATTCATTTCCACACGGTCGCTTTCCGCATAAAGACGTCCATTCCTGTTGAGATATGGCAGATAAGACGGGGATCGGACAGTGAGGCGGTAGCGCTAATCGGTGCTCAAGGACGCGGAAAGAGGGAACACCAAGGGGGGGGCGGTCGGGGTCCGAGGGGGGCGGAAGAGAGTCGGGGGAGAAAAGTAGGAAACAATTAGCTGCCAAGTGCGAGAGGAGAGAACCCAGTGTCCATTTCACTTTCTTCGATTGCGGATTAAGAATTGTCCATGGCGCATGGCGTGGCGCGGCCGTCACCAATCCGAGCCGCGCACGCGGTGAGCCGAATCATCGACTCATGGTCCGTAATCACCCCCGCCCCTTTTGTCGATCTATTAAATCTTAAGTGGATCCATACGCACTCCAGGTCCGCCTCTACACTGTGCTAATCTGTGTTTGAGGAGCAATGATTATTGTAATGTGCGAATTTATCTATGATTTTGACTGAGTCCCTTTGTACTGAGAGGAAAGACGTTGCAAATCCATTTCTGATCGTCAAGAAGAAGAAAATCTGTCATTGTTACCTGGGATGTTTTAATGAAATATCACTACAGGCTGGAAATACTTGACATTTTCCAAAACTTGGCACCATTCTTCGATTGAAAGTGATAAATAGTCTGAAGTAATTGCATACTTTTGAAATCGTCACTTACTTTTCTTACTCCGCGTTTAAGTCTCCAGAAATACTTATATTAACATTAGTTGGTTTGGATTTGCCAAAAAGGTGGTAAGTGAATCTGTGTGGATTTCAGCGCAGTTTCCGTTTTGTCCATGAATTTCTATAATTGAATTGACGTATGCGGAAATGTCCGTTGTCCAATAGAGGGTTTCATAATTGCGGTGGGTTTCTTTTGTCCCACGACACTGATGAATAAGATTGATCTCTTTTGTAAACGTCTAATTATACTTAGGGGAATATTTATAAAATTGTTCTACATTCCTAGCGTCTTAAACCATCTTGTGTCGTTAAGTTACAACGAAATTGTCCACTGAAATTCTGAAATACTGTCTTTGACATCGGAAGTTTCCGTATACGTCGATTCAATTAGCCTGCCGACATTTTTTTTATACCAAAATTGCATAAGTGATGTTTGCTTTGTCACATTAAACATACATTTTGACTGACATTTTAGTAACACCTCTGTTACTTGCGAAATACCGAGGTAGATACCAGATCGAAGTGCTAGTTTTCTAATACATATTCAGTGAACTCTTACAGGACTGTTTTGCAATTACTTATGCATGCCACTGAAAAATCATTGAAATTATAGTCGTCGTACCGTCTAACGCAGGTGCGCGCAAAACGATCGTTTCATTTGCACGCACATAAATCAATTGGGAGAAAGTGGTTGCATACGTGTCAGGGGCCAACCGATCTGCAATTTAACACTCTCATGTAATAGATCTATTCATATGCCATGGTTTGCGGTTTTGCATACCGCAATGATCACCTCACTAACACATCGGAGGAGACCTGATTTAGATTTTGTCTTAAAGGAAAAATTGCGCCGCCTCGAGCATAGGTATTGCGGTATCGATGACCCCCGAAATGACTGATTTTGCTTTCGTCCTAATAATTGAAAAAGAGAAATTTGGAGATTATATTGTTTTTTTTTCTTACAAATCAACGGTGTAAGGCGGCAATCACATAACTCGTTTGCGGTGTCTGAAAATCTCCGCCGCAATGTTATTTTTTTTTAGAGGAGAACAAATTGACATCATTCCTTGAAGTTTTTGCAGAATTTTCTTTGCATACAGAAGGAAAATCAAGGCAGTTTTGAAGAATTGCCGTTGAGCACTTAGTTTTCGGGGTAAAAAATAAAGTATGGCAGGAAGTCTGCGACGTCGGAAACCGAGTTATGTGATTGCCGGCTTACACCGTCAAAATGCACTTTGCGGTAGTATTTTTCTGATTTTTTTTTTTTTTTTTATTATCATTATTTTTGACTCAGTATCATGTCTCCATCTTAATCTCGGAGAGGAGGGAGGGAAGAGTCTACCTAATTGAATATTTTCCAAAAACAACAATTTTTTGTTCTCGTTCTTGTACATAAGAATTCCTGATTATCTTTTAAAAAAATGTACTAACAGTCTTAAGACATGTCGCAGCTTATAATTTTTTGTTACGAAAATTGAACAAGCGAAAAAATGAGGCAACTTTAAATATGATAACGTTATGAGCCTATCTAAGTATGTACTTTAATCTCTCCTTTTGAACCATGAAAAAAGAATAATCTACCATACAGCATCGATTATTCGACAAAAATTGCTCCATTCTTCTTTGTCGTCTTCATTTATAAACTTCAATTTATCAGCCCGAAATTGCTCTTGGTCCCCTTATCGCACATTACTACGCTATGAGCGTGTGCAAAGCTAGAACGCCTTCAGTTTTATGCATGCAACACGCACATCCACAGAGCAGTAATAGTTGCATCTAGGGGTTATCATGACATCTATACTCCGTCGCCGTGTTATAGGGAAGAACACCGCACCGTGCTGTGTGAGCATTTGAATGTTGCTGAATTTACGCTGATTATATGACTTTTTGGATGCTCTCATCGTGATTTTTGTGCCAATTTCAACCATTAGCGACTCCAGTTTGTGCTAGAGTACGTTTGTGCTCTATCTGATGTTTGCAAAAGGACCTTTCTACAATTTTGGCATGACATTAAAATGGATACAATACATTAGCCTCAATCAAAAATCTCCCTAAGTCTCAGAATATCTGATGAACATTTGACCCAGATAAATGAGAATTTTTTTCTGAGCGCGAGGAAGGTCGTTCCAAATCCATCGACTCCTTCATGGACCGACTGGATCTTGGCCGATAATGATCCGCCGTTCGGGCATTTCGCGCTTCGGTATCGCGCAAATTGCACGTGCGATAATTTTTTCGGAATGCGGTAGCGTCTCGCGCCGGCCGAATGTGTTCAAGAGCTTTCACCGCAAAATTGTGTGACAGAGAATACGCGAGTCTTTTTCCTCTCAACTACGTTGTTGCCAATTTTCATTTCGCAAAAGTGTGCGATGAAAACATACGTGGTAGTAAAGTGATTGATTCTCATCAATGATGGTCAAAGTCATCGCGATTAACGCTTTTTACTCACCATTGAGCTAACGCCGATTTCTAGTGGTTTAGGGACCGTCTCTAAATTACGTAACGCCCTATGGGGGGGGGGGTCGAGGAGACCGTTACGCTATTTTGTTTTTACGTGTTGAAGGGTAGAGATCTGCGTCACAAAAGCGTTACAAGGGAGAGGGGGGTTAAAAATGCCGGATTAGTGCCTTTACATAGTGCCTTTTTTTCACTTTACATGAACAGTAAAGGCACAAATTCTTGCTTGTTTTGAAAAAAAATACCCGACTCCAAGGTTATAAAACCGTTCATCATATACTATTGAGGAGACCGAAAAGTTTCATATATTTAGCTACATCCCTCTAGGAACCGAATGACATGTGTCGAAAAATTGTCCGTTAATCCGAAAATTTTGGCTGAATTCGGTTTTTTTTCGTTTTCCGGAATTTTGCATCTAGAGTTGGGCACTTTTTAATACTTTTTTGGCGCCTTTCGATGTTCTTTTCTATCCATGTGTGGACGCAAAATTATTCAAATAATTTGGAAGCCCAGAACGGCACCGGTGACTTAGCTTGGACGCCTCGTCATGGCGTGTAAGTAGCTTTAATTATGGTTTTCCTAGACTGTGAGTTCTTTCCTACTTTTCCACCGCTGACTGCCCCTTGCTTCCATCTTTATTGCCACCACTTTTTTCCGTCACTGTCCACTCTTCCGAACATACCTCGCCATTTCAACTAACAAGTTCCTCAACTTTGTTCTATCACAGTGCTTACATATTAAGAGCATCGAGGAAAGTAAAATTGCTCAACTTTCAATCCAAGTACTTTAACCTTTCTGCGTCCTCCATCTTAGGTCATAATACGCAAACGTGGAAGAAAAAAAATTAAGGAAACCTTATTTTTCAAGTAATAAATTTACAAGACCGTAGAGCTCAATTTTAATTAGCATTCGAATGTTTATCGTAATTCTCAAATATGTATTTACACGAACTTCGTGTTTGGACATTTCTTATCACTTGGGCAGTTTTTTTTTTTTTTTTTTTTTTTTTTTTTTTTTTATCAACTCTTTAAACACGAATCCTTGATACGCAAAAATGATTCATTCCACTCATCGAATAATTTTCTTTATCGCTCATTTTTCGTCAAGGATAAGTTAACTTTAAAAAAATCAAGATTCTGTAATAAGTTATCGCTTAGGATGAAAGTGAACTTATAAAAAATTCAAGATAAAAAATGAACGCAAAGTGTGAGGTAAAAATTCAGTCACGCCCTTTAACCCTAGCGACTATCAAAAGGTTATGGGACAATGGCAGACATTATTTGACACTGATGTCTTCGGTATCGCTAAAAATCACAAATACTTTATTGTTCATTCAAAAATTGACCAATGTATGAGGATCGCTTACATTGTAAACAACATATTTAACCTATACGACAGTATCAATTTTTACATTAATTTATTTACAATAGGTAGTCTCTCAAAAATAAATTAAAAATAAATAAGTACATTTATTTTTGAACTGCACATGTCTTAAAGTCTTTTGAAATGATGAGACAAAATTATTTCACGTTATCATGCAAGATTAAGGAAGAATACTAGTAGCCATACTCTAAAATAGTAAAAACGGTTTTTTTTTTACAATATGTGATTGATTATTTGATTTATGTTTAAAAAATTCAGTCCGAAGAAATACATGTTAACTTTTATGTTTTCTCAAATGATCAGGCAAATTGATTTTAAACAGAATAAAATGGATGCACTAGACTGTCTTCAACCAAGATTTATCAAACACTATTTTCAAAAACTGGTCCGCGATTTTTGCACTCTGCAAACCTTTTGATTTGTGTAGATACCTAAACGAAACTTGCAAACGAAATACTCATAAAATTTTATTAAACTTTAATCAGCTTGTAGTGTTGACTTGTCTGCAAAAATCTAGCATCTTCTAGAAAATTGTACAGAAGCCCTTTTTAAAAAAATAGAAGGCCTAGAACTATTGGTACCCCTTGCTCTATACCATCATTTGTATCTTTTCAATATGTTCGATCGCAGACTGATGATTCATACTTTGGTTGAATGTTTGTTTCAGGTATGTAAAGAGCAGCGTTATGGTCCTGTCATCCATGTGCATATTTAAATTCTACCATTGAATACAACTGAGCAACATTTCCAAATGAATTGGTAAGATTACGTCCAATTTTTGCCTTATGACACGAAAGAGAAAGTTTTGGCACGTGTTTTTTGGTGCGTTGATAACATGTGACTATGCTCAGTGCTATACAAATTGAGTAAGTGAATTTCAGATCACAAATATCGAACAGTTAAGGTAACTTTTTACGTTTCTAAAAAGAAAGATTGGCGGATACCATGTAATTATTATTCCCTTAAAAATTAATTTGAACGAAGTTTCAATACTTTGTAGTACTTTGTAGTACAGAAGATATCCTGTACATCCAAAGTCTGCGAAGTGGAGAACAAAACCAGTCCTAAGTCTGTGAACTGCAGGAGAACCAGCTCCTTACCCCTTGTTTTGGAACGGAAAAATGCATATTTGGTGGAGGATGTAGGAAATTAGTCTCAAGTGTCAAACTCATCATTGGTGATTCTTTCTACCCTCAAAACATATTATTGTTTGAGTTTCTTTCAAACTATCTGCCACACCTTCTTGTATTACGCCTCGATTTTAAAATGAGAATATGTTTCTCATCCCTTCAACAGTCGCTCACGAGAAACGGAATTGTTTGATCATAAAAATGAATGACGGTCAACTAGAAGAACTTTTGTCGCCAACTCGAAAAGATATGTAGTTAAAATAATCAAATTTCTCTCGCGAGTTCAATCAGTTAATTCCATCAAAACACCGATCTGTTATCATGTTCCTCTGAGAGGGCTGCTGTCCACTTTTTGTATCTTACACCTAACACAAAATCAAGCCTCAACTCTTCGTGGTGGAAACTCGCGACAATAGATGGCACGTAGAAACGTTAAAAACTATTATAAAAAGACGTGCAAAAGGTAGTGAACCAGCAACAATTTAGACCGCCACCGGCCCCCTGAAAAAAATGATTCATTTTCAGGCGGCATCTCAATCCAGCAATGAATGTGTGTCAGTCTACCATACTTTTTTCGTGCGCATTTGATTATCAAGTTCTCATGTGGACTACATTTTGCAATTTGGAACTATAAATTCTAGCCCGGTTTAAAAACAACGTATGTGCTATTAGTTTCCCTATGCACATAGTGTTTTTTTCCAGAAGAGCCAGAATTTATAGTTGAAAACATTAAATCAATAACGGGCTAAGTGCCAAAAAGTCAAGTTTCAGTTATTCAACAATTATTTCCCACAGGTTGCCTGGTACATACCTACGTATCGCTAACTATAGGGGCACTTTGCACACTACTATCATGGTCGTGGCACTCAGTCCGCTTCACGGGTTGCTGTCCTTGGTACATAGAACGCTATTCGAGGTCTAACTCGATTTTCATTTTTTTGGCACCTAGCCCGTTATTGATTTAAAGTCTTCAGTTCCAAATTGCAAAATGCAGTCCATTTTCACCAACGATTTTGACTAATTCCATGCTCCTATCTCTTCGATCAGTCTATCAATTGGCCGATCCAATTCTCATCGCTCGACATGACTGTAATTCCAGGCGCTGCGGCCAACCCAGTCCTCCTTGATCATATCCGCCCCCTTCTCTCCGATCATTATAGTAGGCGCGTTCGTGTTCCCACTGACGATTTTCGGCATGATGGAGGCGTCGATGACTCGTAGCCCGTCCACCCCGTAGACTCGTAGTCGCGGGTCCACCACGGACTCCTCGTCGATGCCCATCTTGCACGTCGACGTCGGGTGGTAGATCGTGAACGTGAAGTGACGTAGGCTGCACTCCCAGTACTCGTCCGAGAACAGCGTGTACCTGTAGAACAGAAACGTAAAATTAGGTACGTTGCAAGTAGTTAGCAATTGCTGGCAATTTGCCAGCGGCCTTCGTGTTATCTCAACAAATCGCAAAGATTCGCATCGGCGTGACAAGGGTTTCAATGTTTCATGCGTAACACCGTAACAAACTCGGCTCCGACAGCCTTCATTTTCTCATGATACTCTACGCTGCGCTACGCAGTTAGTTTAGTTGCCTATCCGACCAAATTCAACCAACCTCTTTGATTTCACTACACGCTTTATGTCCAAAGATGTTCCTAGCGCACCCCTCTTTGCTCCGATATCAATAACTTAATTTTAAGTTTTTGTTGACTGCAGTGAATTTTAAGTTGATATTTAAGTGATGTACTAATAAATCGGCACTTAAATTATGTTTAATGAACATTGTAAGTAGAGAGACAGAAGAATACATTTATTTATTTATTTTAATTTTGTTAATTTTAAAAAAAAATTAATAGAAAAATAATTCATGTTGATAAGTCTAAAGTTCAAAATGACGATTCATCTCGTCGCATAAAATATCTAGTTTTTCTAGTTACCTGCTTATGCAAAGTTAAATTAAATATTAGTTTTGTGATTGAATAATTAAAAATTAGTGAAGTTTTTAAAAAGTAACGGAAACAACGTAAAGTAAAGTTAAAAAAAGTTCAATTAAGTTTTTTTTTTTTTTTTTCTCGTAGGCGGTCTCAAATGTAGAAACCATAGCAACCCAGTTTTACCTTTCCCAAAATAACCTTTTTTGGCTGATGGATATTAAATTATAATATAATGAAATAAAATAAAATACCTGGCACAACCGGGCATGGGAGTGGTAAGCGGCCTGGAGTTGAACTTCTTGAAGGTCTTAGAGCCGGAGATATTGAACGCGATGCGGATGCCTTCTATCAAGACCTGAACGTCTTCTTTGTAGGTGAAGTAGTTAGGCTCGATGATCGGGTAGACCAAGGGGTTCCTGCTTTTCAGACTAATCCTCCCGGTGCTCCTCGGTCGAAGGAGGAGGGGCAAGATGGTCCAGGTCTCGGCGTTGATCAGGGGCTTGTACAGGGTGTTGTAGACGCTGTCGCGGAGCCCCAGGATCTTACGGATCACCTGAAATATTCAGAGAAACGTTACAGGTGTAAAAATAAGATAGTATACAGAAGAATGAATCAAAGTGGAGTATAGGGCTGCATGAAGCATCGAATTTGAGATTTATGAAATATGACAGACTTAAGGTGATTCGATGGACGGCATATTTTGTGTCGAACGGCATGCGACATATCGCATCAGTTGGTTCCATTTTTTCAGCTACTCGTCATTTTTCTCCAATTTTGAGATCGCAAATCTGTTTAAAAATTTCGAATTTCGTCCAATGGACATCCTGGAAAAGTACCAAATTTCTCTCTAGAGGAGGCACTGAATTTCTTGGGATGCGCTTTAAAAATACTGTAACAGTACTCACTTTTGGCCAGCCAGTTAAAGGAGACACCCTATTTATGTGACACAAGAATCTAGCTGTAGAAAGTTGGCAGTTTCCAAAACGCCTTCAATTGTGGTCTGATACCTCCCGCATTCCGGAGAGTACGAATAGTCCTATCTTTGCGCCTTAACAATGCGATGGGAGATTAAGGTGATTCGATGGACGCCATATTTTGCGTCAGTACGACATGCGATGTATCGTATCGATATTTCCATTTTTCAGCTACTCGTCATTTTTCTCCAATTTTGAGATCGCAATTCTGTTGTCAGGAGACTAAAGCACTCACTCACCAATTTTAACAAAGAATTTCAACGTAATAAAGGCGTGATTTTTTTAGAGAGAAAATATCGCATTCGAGTGCAGATTCGATATCAGTATCGAATGCTATGTTTTCTCTCTGAAAAAACCGCGCACAAAAATGATTTTAACTTCCGCCGCCGCGCCGCGCAAACAGCACCGTGTTTGGCGCAATGCGTGAAGTATTCACGCAGTCTTGTAGGCGCTATGCGTTTCGCGCTGACCGCACTGTGTTTGGCGCAATGCGTGAAGTATTCAGGCGCTCTTGTAGGCGCTATCCGTTTCACGCGGACCACGATAACCGCACTGTGTTTGATGCAATGCGTGAAGTATTCGTGCAGTCTTGTAAGCGCTAATATGTGTTACATGCCGATTGCCGCGCCGAGGGCTTCCCCTTTTCATCTCAAGTCCTCGTCATCATTTCTCCCTAAGTCGCACCGTTCCAGACCCAATTGCGTGTTTGGTTCCTCTCTTAACTCGACTATTAAAGGTGCTGTCTTTTGTATCATAGAAAGACGACAAAATTAGAAATTACAATACTATCAGGAAATGAGAGTTATTGTTGCCTTTCCTCGTTTGTAATTTTTTTTCTGAATCCGATTTTTTTTATACCTATAATGGACCACTAGACAAGGTACGAATTTCAGTATTCTGATACATGATTCGTAACTAAAATTTCACGTAGAAATTGATGCGCACAACAAAAATCACCGAAATCAATTCCTTACGAAGATATTTAATGATTCTTGATGCGTGAATTCAAATCACCCGCTCATGAAAACTCAATACTCTACGTAATTCACATCGCGCGCTGAACGTTATCATGACAGTCTCTGCGATATAAAAATCTAGCAACATCAATCTTGACGCTTTGGCTCAGCTATAGCAAATTGCTAATATAGTTCGAACAACACATGGTGGGAAATGAACATTGTTCGATTGAGAAGCTTGCTGAAACCGTTGTAGTGGGCGATTTGACTCACGTAGAGCTTTGAGTTTCTTGTGAGCTGGCAGTTCAAATTCCTCGTAACCAATGTGAAATAAAAACGTTAATGTTAATATCTTCGTCAGGAGTTGGTTTCAGTCATTTTCGTTGTGTCAATCGTGCTCCACGTGAAATTTTGGTTAAGACACATGTATCAGATTGCTTAAATTCGTACCTTGTCTAGTGGTCCATTAAAAAATTGCAAAATTTGCCGCCCCCTAAATTTGCCGCCATGGGCCGCGGCTCACGTGGCCACGCCCTTAATCCGGCCCTGGTGGCCAGAGGTTGACAAGAGATATTACAAACGGCCCTAAATCGGGAAACTCATGATGGTGCCAACTGCAGGCTGATTGTTGCACGGAGAAAAAAAACTCGTGCGTGGGACCCGAAGTTTAGGTCATATGGATCTCTGAAATTTTCAGATTGAGCAACTGAACACTTTAGGTCTAGCTGCCGAGGTTCGGATCATACATCTGAAACTTCGGTTCTTACATCTGAAGTACTTCAGATGTGAGAACCGAAGTACTTCGGATGTGAGAACCGAAGTACCTCGGATGTGAGAACCGAAGTACTTCAGATGTAAGAACTGAAGTTTCAGATGTGTGATCCGAACCTCGGCAGCTAGACCTAAAGTGTTCAGATGCTCAATCTGAAAACTTCAGAGATCCATATGACCTAAACTTCGGGTC